GACAGTCTCTCTGCCTCACATCTCTCATTCTCTTGGTTTGCTCTCTCTCTCACAAATTCTCCCCTCAACCTTTCCATTTATACACTGAAAAGAAGGCGAAGAAGTTGGTTGGCACAACACATGGCCAGCTCCTTCTCCACATGGCCAACACATGAGAAATGATCACCCCTCACATGGGGTGATATCCAACACATGTAGCTTTCTCGGTTAAGCATGAGATGATATGTTTTTAATTTCTTATTTATTATTACGGTGGTGCTACATGTATCAATTAGTGTTATGATATTATTATTAACCTCACCTATTATATAAATTATAAATACCCAAAACATCTAAATTATATCACATTATCTATTAGTAAACTAGTTAGTACACTAATTAGTGCATATAAAATTATTCTTATTATATAATGTCACTCATGGATGAATAGTTTGAAATGAGTAAAGTAGCAAGCACTAGGACGTGCTACGTGTAAGAGAATGTTGGTCTCAGGCAATTCATTTTGATTAGTCATATTAGTTGATATCACTATGTAATTTAGTAGCATTATTTACTTATTTACTTGGTAAAACTTTAACAAGGCATTACATTTATTGATATAGTTTTTTTAAAATTGTCACACAACAAAATAAGGATGAGAAAGTAAATGAACAGACAAATACATAGAGAAATTTGGAGGAGGGAGAAGAGGCAAGGCCTAACGAGCCATCCCTGGTTCTACCACTGGTGGTGCAGTAATTCCTTCTTGATTCCACTTCTCTACATTGGCTTCCCAACCTTGCACACATTCCATGATCAATCAACCACAAAATAGGTGTGTTTGTATAAAATATTTCAATTTGATTTTTATATAAAATATACAATTCCCAATTTATTTTTAAAAAGAAGGCCCCAACACGAAAACACAAAAAAAAAAAAAAAGTCAAAATACATTTAACTCTTTGACTACTTCTAATCAAAAGGAAATATATATCGTTTATAATTTATCCTTTATATGAAAATATATATCCTTTATAATTGATTAGAATGGTCCACAGATCTTTCCAAACAACACATAAATGGCTGAGATCATTTTACACATTAGAGAGTTCCCACCCATCACACACACGCAACAGTTTCTTCTTTTCTTCTTCTCTTTTTTGTGATTCACGTTCTGTCTCTGTCTCTGTCTCTGTCTCTCTCTTAGAACGATAAACACCTCATCAGCACAACCTTTGTGTCTCCTCCTCTTTCCCGAATTTGGATCCTCTTCCCCAATAGACACCCACCCTCTTCGCTATAGATGGTGCTCTTCATTTCCCTTACAACCTTTTGAAACTCATTGGCTTAGGAAAGACCTGCACTTTTGGTAAGGTTCTAAACCTAGAGTTTGTTTCTTTTCTTTTCTGAAACCCTTCCCTTCTTAAATTAGGGCATTTGATTAAACTATTTGGATTTCAATTCAACGATTTCTGGTTGGGGGTTTTGATTTTTTTATATTTTATAATATGGATGTATATATGTATAAGCTCAAATCAATTACAATAGATATGTTTGTTTATATATGCTTTTGAAGGTGGCAAGCGATCGATTATGCTCGGTTGAATCACAGTACGATTACATTCTTCAATTTCTCCAAACCAGAGACCGCAGCTTCTCGCTGGAGTCGAGTCAGGTTGAATGCTTCCAAGGTCATCTGCTTCTTCCTCTTCTTCTAAATTTTTTCCCCAATTCAGTGTAATTTCTAAAAATAATTATAAAATCATCTATGGTAAAATTTTACATCATTAATAACCAAACTCTTTTTAAAAAATTTCATGAATCTATAATAATTTTCTTAAAATATCAATTAATCTAATAATTAAGTAGTATTATATTATTATGTGTTCAACGAAGTGACTTAAAAGTATCATGTTAATTGTGATGGGTAGGTTGGTAAGGGTTTGTCCAAAGACACCAAAGCACAGAAATTGGCCTTCCAACACTGGATTTATGTTACTAATTATATCAAATTTATATACACATTAGACGCGCATCAGTCTCTTCTCATGGTCTTATAAAAATCATATTTTAATTCGATGTTTTTATGATAATAGATGAATTATAGATGTTCTGGAGTTGGGTCCTTTTGATGACGAGCAACCTATTTACATAAGATTGATCAATCATTAATTTAGGCTGCAAGGTATTGTGCTTATTACACTACAACAAAATTGGGTTTTTACGGCTTCATATCAACGACATACAGTAAATGCAAGCCGTGGTTTCTCATTTGTACGGTTGTAAATAATTTTTCAACCAAGATGTGTCTATTGCATATGTCGTGAATGTTAATAACAGTGATTTTTTTACGGCTTACAATGTTAGCCGTAAATAATAACACTTTTTATGACATACATTTGGCATGCCATAAATATATCAATTATACACGACACGTGTACGTCAGTGGTTAAACATATTTTATTTTTCACGACGTTCAATTTATGTCGTAAATGATGTGACCCAAAAAAAATTAAGCACCAAAATAAAATAGGATCTGGCGCCACCAAAAAAATCAAGCGAAAATTAAGCGCCATAATTTTTTTTTTTTATATCAAAATACAAACTGTTTGGCTCCTAAGTGGGTTCTAAAGGAACGTGAAAGATGTAAATCAGATAATAGAAGAGAGGGAGAAGAAAGAAGGGTTCGAAAGGGAGATTGGTTCAGCGGCATCAGATTTCGATCTGGAACGGTGCGCTCTCTCCAACGGTGAGACTGGTTCGGCGACGGCAACGATCGACGGCTCGAAGTGGAAGGGTTTCGTTCTTGAGGTATGTTCGGATTCCCCCGCCCTTTTCTCTCTCTCTCTCTCTCTCACACACACACACACACACATTCACTCTATTTTATTCGGTTAGTTTCTCTGCTTACATAGCGAGAATAGTTACAAGATGAAGCGAAGAAATTGTAGGAGGAATCTGATATCAATCCATGAGACCAGAAAAACTCAGCCCTTGAGGAATTTTTTTTAATGATAAATTAGCAGAAAATCTATGATTGAAAATTCTATTTTTCTTTTTTTTTTAAACTGAAATTACCAGAAATTCTTGTTAGTTTCTTTAGGTTTTCTTTTGTTTACAGTTTTGAGTTGGTTAATAGTCATATGGGAATCGATCAATTAATCGAAGAGGATCTAAATCAATGTGTTTTTCACACTGTGTTATTTGAATCAATGTGTTTTTCACACTGTCTTACAAAATTGCCCTTATCCCTCACTGTCCTGCCATTGTTGCGCAACCATGGCCTGCTTCAATTGAGGAAAAAAAAGAAGAAAAAAATATGCTATTGTAGGAGTGGGAGCAGAAGCGTTGGTCATTACTTTCTTACTCTTTTCTTTTTTTTTTTTCAATCTCGACCTATGTTTTTAACCACCATTAGTGTTTTTAGTGCTGCTATGTAGTGTGTTGGCTTTTGGGTTCATAGGAACTCAATTGTTTTGTGAGATTTTTTTATTTTTTTTATTTTTGGTTTTTAGGTTCCTTGAGTCATACAAGATATAGTGTGAATTTCAAACTTTTGAGTTATGAAAAACATCTATTATACATGATGCATAACAGTGGCATTATTTACATTTTTCTTTCTTTTTTTGTTTTTGCTTTGTGCATTGTCAATGGAAGCAATCCTGTCCTTTTGGTTGTGCAATGTGATTATATTATATGTTAGGACATGGTCCACTGTTTAAATTTTAGTATTATTATCAATTTTTTCCACTTTTAACTTTCTGATTATTATCTCATGTGCACCAACCGCAAAACACACAAATGATGGCTGCTAGTTTTTTTTCTTTGGGGCCAATAGAATGATGTATTAAGTGGGAAATGGCGCCTGTCATTATATGGAGATCATTTGCTTGAAAGGAATAATTACTATTGTATCCTGCACAACCATCATCTCTGGATTGGTAACCAAAACTAAGTAGCTTAATCCTTTGTTCGCGTAACCTTTCCATTGTTGATTCACATGAACTCCCGCTTCCAACATTGTCCTGAGGTGCTCTCCTCTCTTGCTTTTGTATTTCATATTGTGTGGGTTTTAGCTCCATACACTAAAGTCTGGTTAGTCATGCACTATTCCCTCAGTGAGCATGAATTTCAAATTTGAGGAAACCGTTCGTTGATTTCTGTGTTGGTTTCTTTGAGAACACTAATTTATTTTGTTTGTTCCCAGGAGCATGTCATTAATCATTGTGTACAACTATTTATCTTCTATTCATTCTGTTGGATCTCAATTTATTTTACATCCCAATGCTGCCTTCCTTCTCATAAGATTCATGAAAGCATGTAAAGAGCAACAGTCCAGTCTTCTTTAGCAGTTTTAAATTGACGTTTCACCAAACAACCTAATCCTGTTGTTGTATTTGATCGTTAGTTATTGTCAGCAAAGTGAATTTCTTGTATTTTCCTATGATGTTGTAGTTCATTAGCATATTTTATACTGTTTGAACTTGAAAGTTTTTTTGTCCCTCTTGTATGCTTTTTGCCAGTTGCCCATAACCCAGTTAAGATTTAAACAATTCTGGTAAAAAAAAAGCAAGTGCTTCTGATTGTTGATTTTTTTAGTTATTTTCTCAGTTATATGGTGTACATGTATGCATTGAACTGTTGAAATTTCCTGTGTCAATAACAACATAGTTCATGTTTGCTTAGTTATCAACATATTGGTATTCTTGTGCAACACAAAATTTATTTGCTGCTGTTACAAAGCCATTAGCTACATCTATGAAAATATTCATGCTTCTGTTTTCATGTAATCGGATGTAGTTAGTTAATTATTGGAATTCAAATCAGGTTAGAAGAGAAACTCACCAACATAGAATCAGAGAATAAGGTCCTTCGTCAGCAGGCTGTCTCCATGGCACCTAATAAGGTCCTCTCAGGACGCTCCAGATCAATTCTTCAGGTTCTCCCAGAAATCAATCTTCTTCAAATCATGAACTAATGTTGTGGATGTTTTGTGAAATTTTCATGTTTTCATCTATTGGCAGAGAGGTGGTGACAGTGGTCATTGTTTGTGGATACAAAGACAACTTAGGTAAATTTTAATGTTTTATGAAATTTTCATGTTTTCATCAATCCTTTTGTTAAACATGCGTTTTTGTTGATTACTGTTAAAAATGCCTTAGGATCTGCATAGCCCTTCATTAAACCAAAGGGATCTTTCAGAAGTAGAGGACAAACCACAAAAATCTCTTAATGAGAAACAGCAAGAGAATCAAGAGCTTCTTATCCGATGTATTGGACAACACCTAGGCTTCGCAGGGAACAGACCAATTACTGCTTGTATCATCTACAAATGCCTTCTACAGGGGAGATCTTTTGAAGTTGAGCGGACTAGTGTGCTTGACCGAATCATTCGGACCATAGGCCATGCTATCGAGGTTTGAATAATCTAATCCTATATGCTACTAGTGTGTCTTGTTTTCGCTTTTTGTCATAATTGGCTTCTCATAACTAAGTATTATTATTTGGATTAAAGACCTAGGATAACAATGACATCTTAGCCTATTGGTTGTCCAATTCCTCGTCTCTTCTGCTGTTACTCCAGCGTACATTGAAAGCAAGTGGTGCCGCTGGAGTGGGCGCCGTCGATTATCCTCGGCTACTCTGTTTGGAAGGATGACACAGGTAAGTTAAAGTTCCCATTTGAATTTCCATGTTCTGTCATCAAACGAAGTTATAGTCCTTTCGTTAGTTTAGGTGTTTGCTATTATTTTTATTTACAGAGTTTCCGAGGAACTCCGCAAGGAGTTAATCTTTCCTTTGTAAATGGTGGCCTGACTGGTGGAGCAAAAGCTTTACACCAAGTTGAAGCCAAATACCCAGCTTTGCTTTTCAAGCAGCACCGTACAACATTTGTAGAAAAGATTTATGGAATGATTCGAGATAACCTTAAGAAAGAGATTTCTCCATTGCTTGGGTTGTGCATCCAGGTAATTGAATCTGTTGGGTAATATGAGTCATTCATCTGCCCAGGTAAGAAATACTTCTTTACATATTTTTGGTCAATTCTCAGATCATGTCATTGTAGTTAATATACATTAATGGATCAAATTGATGGTTCTCATCACACACATACTCATTTAGTGCATTCTAATGCTTGAAATGGTGTGTGGCCTTGCTATATTCGGGGAGGTTTCTTCTATAACAAATATATGATGCACATCAGCAATCATTGCATTATCAACACGAATGATCGAAACTGGATTTTTTTTTCTTTCTTTATTTATTTTGACTATGATAGAATTTCCTTGTTTTTAAGAAAAGGATTAAGAAGGTTTTTTTTTCTTTATATGATAGAATTTCCTTGTTTTTATTATCAATTGACTTGAAACTTCTTTGTTGACTCATTTATTTGGTATATTTTAATTTTTATTAACAATGTCAAACATTATTTAGTTTTGTTATTTTAGTTAAAAACCTTCTTAATCCTTTTCTTTTTTCCTCATATTTTTTTCCCTTCAGCTCATTTGATACATGCTTATGGTTCTTTGAGTAACACAATTTTCTGCAGAATCCCAATCTTATAACATATTTCTAGATATTCTGTCACTAGTTCACCTTCATTCTTGAAAAATTCTCGTCACACTTTTTCTGATCTACCTCGTAAGAAAACCAACGTCGCTAATTTTGAAAACAGAGAAACCTTTTAATGTTGAATACTTAATCGCTACATCATATGAAGCTTGATTGTGGGGAATAACTTGCCAAAATATATTTAGTTTATGCTTTTCTTTCCTGTCTTAATCATCTAAAATATTCTTTGCATACCTTCTGTTAAACATGGCGTTTTGCTTTTCACCCCTTGTTCACTTGGAATCTCACAACTACTTGGTAAAATTTAATTTAATTTTTGAATTTTTCTTCAGCAACCACTAAGGTTTTGGCTTCAGAACTCCCAAAGCACTGGAACAAAAAATGCACTGTCTTATATCCTTTTTCAGCAAAAGCTAGCACTGAGATTAGTATGTGCGATGTTTCTGAAGAATATGAGTTGAATGGATTAATTTCGTACTAAAGAATATGAGTTGAAATCCAATGTAAGTATGATATAACTTCCGTTGTTTAAATTACTAATCAACAATTTCTTTAGTTAGTAAATAATATATAATCACTTCAAGATTTCATTTTAGATTTGTTGATTCTATGTATATTTGGTTTTATGACTTTAAAATATTTGTTCATACATTGAAGATTTTCATTTTGGATTTATTGATTCTATGTATATGTCATATTTATATATGGTAATCCAAATATTTTATATTAGTAACAATCAAAGTTGTTATTCCTTTCCATTGATGCAGGAGATGAAGAGTTAGTGTGATGAGAAAATGTTCGATTTCGTCTTTTGTAAGTCTCTACAAAAATATGAAGTTTATTTATATGCTTTTAGCGGTTTTTGAATTAATTTGTGTTTTTATTTTTTATGTCAGAAATTTCTTGGAGAAATGCAAAATATGGTCAAAGAATTCAACAACTTAGTTTTTTCAAGTTTTTATTTTTTATTTTTTAATATATGTAAGCACAGTTAAAAACTTTTTACTAATTCATTTGTATATACTTTTTGAACATTTAACTTTCATTTATGAAATATATGTTGTTATTCTATTCAATATATGGTTGTGATTCAAAATATAGTATATAGTGTGTATTACATTCTTCAAATGCATATAACATGTGATCTTATCTGATTATTAATCACGTGTTTTATTAGATATTAATCACACTTAAAATCTATGATCTAAATGTTTATTATCACATGTTTTATTAGTTATTAATCACACTTAAAAGATGTGATCTAAATATTTTTAATCACACTTAAAAGGGGTGATCTAAATGTAATTAATCACACTTAAAATGTGTGATCTAAATATTATCAATTACACTTAAAAGGTGTGATCTAAATGTTTTTAATCCCACTTAAAAGGTGTGATCTCAATGTTATCAATCACACTAAAAAAGTGTGATCTAAACGTTATCAATCACACTTAAAAGGTGTGATTAAAAATGGCCCCTTTTAATCACACTCTCAAAGATCACACTTTAATAAAACTAAAAAGGTGTGATTAAATAACAAACGTCACACAAAAAAAGTGTGATCTTTATCTGTTTTTGTAGTAGTGTCATTCTAATGTGAAAAACACACACACTCAAAGAGACACCATATTCAACGTGATTTGGCCTTAATACCTACGTCTACGGGAAAGTAACCGGTTATCACTATAACAATGGAGAGATTACAGAAAGATTACAATAGAGGAGGAGTTCACACTATCCTCACTCACCTACTCATCCATCTCCCTCTCTCACACCTAGAGAGGCGGTCTCTCTGCCTCACGTCTCTCACTCTCTTGGTTTGCTCTCTCTCTCACAAATTCTCCCCTCAACCTTTCCATTTATACACTGAAGAGAAGGTGAAGAGGTTGGTTGGCACAACACATGGCCAGCTCCTTCTCCACATGGCCAACACATGAGAAATGATCACCCCTCACATGGGGGTGATATCCAACACATGTAGCTTTCTCGGTTAAGCTTGAGATGATATGTTTTTAATTTCTTATTTATTATTACGGTGGTGTTACATGTACCAATTAGTGTTACGATATTATTATTAACCTCACCTATTATATAAATTATAAATACCCAAAACATCTAAAATTATATCACATTATCTATTAGTAAACTACTTAATACACTAATTAGTACATATAAAATTATTCTTATTATATAATGTCACTCATCAATGAATAGTTTGAAATGAGTAATGTAGCAAGCACTAGGACCTGCCACGTGTAAGAGAATGTTGGTCTCATGCAATTCATTTTGATTAGTCATATTAGTTGATATCACTATGTAATTTAGTAGTATTATTTACTTATTTACTTGGTAAAACTTTAACAAGGCATTACATTTATTGATATAGTTTTTTAAAATTGTCACACAACAAAATAAGGATGAGAAAGTAAATGAACAGACAAATACGTAGAGAAATTTGGAGGAGGGAGAAGAGGCAAGGCCTAACGAGCCATCCCTGGTTCTACCACTGGTGGTGCAGTAATTCCTTCTTGATTCCACTTCTCTACATTGGCTTCCCAACCTTGCACACATTCCATGATCAATCAACCACAATATTTAGTTTCATGAATTACTCCATATGACTTCTCAATATTGTCATATTGTTTATTACTATGCTTTTAAAATATACATAGGTGATGAGATTTATTAAATAAATATAGCGGTGATAATTCAAATGATATATCAAATGTGCTATAAAAATATGATCAGTGTAATAAAATCATGGGAAATTACCAATCAGAGATAAATTGAAAAAATTATTACGTATATATAAAAAAGTTTATAATTTTAATTATTTATATTGATAAAATTTATTACTATTTTATAATTATTATTCTAGCTTTGAACTGATCTAAAATTTTGCCTAAAATTATTTTATACATATAAGGCTATATATATATATATATGTATAATATAATGTATATAAATTTGTACTAATTAGTAAAAAAAAGCGACACTTGTTCCTAATAAAATAAATTTGTTCCTAATCCGACTTGCTACAAATTTATATACATTATACATACATATAGCCTCATACATATAAAATAATTTTAGTAAATAAAAAAGTGATGCATACATATAGCCTTATACCTGTAAAATAATTTTTTATGTATAAGGCTATACTATATGTGTTTTGTTTTGTATTCGGATTAGTAAAAAAATGTGACACTTGTTCCTAAATTTTATTTTTTATTTTTTTTCTTGACTGATTTTTATTTTTATTTTTTAAATTTGTGTCAAAATTATTTTAATTTTCGCTTCTTTCTAGTGTAAAGGATTTAAAAAGTAAAAATATTTTTAAAAAATACATATAAAGAAAGAATTTATTTGTTTTGTGTTTTGTTTTGTATTTAATGGATTTTTTTTCATACCATCTGCATTAGTTTCGGTCCATATTTGCCATAATAAAAGGGAAATCAATGTAATTGTGCTAAAATTGTGAGACTTATTGTATTTTCTCCAACCTTTAGAGGAGGTTAGTGTAATTTACTCAATTTTTAATTTTTGTTTAATTCACTAAAAATGAAAAAAGAAAAAAGAAAAATTAGGGAAGTTATCTCAAACACAAAGTGGGGTTAGAAGTGGTCTCACTCACCAAGGGAGGGATCAGCGCCACGGTTCTTGAGTTCCCTGTAGTCTTGACAAAGTGCACAAAAACAGCAAAGACAGTGAACCAATCCATCCGGAATTGAACCTTCTGGCAATCCAAACAGACCCCTCAATTTGGTCCTATATGTGCATCCATACATCGAGGCACACCCAGCATATCCCAGCGCTATGTATATCATGCTCGCCGCAAAACAAGCTTCATAGTCCATATACACCCACACATGCAACCAAAAAAACAAGACAACCAACACCCAAACTTATTTTATTAGTACCCGTAAGGCTAAGTTGTTTGGATCGCAAATTTGTGAGGGCACTTGATAAAAATCTATTTTGGCTCATGTGGTGGCAATGGTGGGCAGCAATAGTGGTAGTGGAGGTAGTAACAGCCGTGATGGTAATGGTGGTGGTGTACTGGTGTAGGTGACTGTGACAGTAACAATGTTGTGATATTAGTAAGATTTATTTTGAAAAACGTTTTTCACTTTTTAAAAGACAAAATATTTTTCATTTAAATAGATTTATTTTTTTATTAACCATGAAAAATATATTTATATACTTTTGTTTTCTGTTAAACCAAATATTAAAAATATTTTTTAAAAAATATATCATTCTAAACATGAGATCCTTCCTTTATATAATAATAATAATAATAATAATAATAATAATAATAATTATCTTATTTTCATATATCTAAATTTACTTGGAGAGAGCCTCACATCTCAATATAAGATTTTGGTACTAGATTTATGTTTTAAAGGGCAATACCAGTAGTGGACGTCGTAAGATGAGATGGTAAGACCTAAAAGGGGATAAACTAGAAATATTTAAGAATAGAATGGATAAAGAAAGTATTTGGGATTTGGAAGATGGTGCTAACACTATGTGAAACTCGATGGTCAATTGTATAAAGATAATCTCAAGGGAAGTTTTTAGAGAGTCAAAAGGAAAGGGACTTAACTTTAGGAAAACTTGGTAGTGGAGAGAGGAGGTTCGACGGTAGTAAAAATGAAAAAATAGTGCTTTAAAAGTGGCAAAATGATAAAACTGATGAAAACCTTAAGATCTACAGATTGGCTAATAAGGAGATCAAAAAAAGTTGTGAGGGAGACTAAATTGAAAGCCTATTAATACCTATACACTAGACTAGATAATAAGGAGGGAGAGAAGAGGATATACAAACTTACTAAGATAAGAGAGAGGAGAACAAGAGATTTTAATCAGGTTAAGTATATTAAGAGTGAGGACTTTAAAGTGTTGGCGAAGGATGAAGAGATTGAGCAGAGGTGAAAGAACTATTTTGAGAAGTTGTTAAATAAAGAATATGGAGATAGGTCAAAAAAGAAGGAAGTAGGCAGTAATAAGAAAAACCAGGACTACAGGTGTTATCATAGGATTAGGAATTTTGAAGTGAAGATTGCACTTAAAAAGATGAAATTGAATAAGCTTTAGGATCAGATGATATCCCTATTAAAGCTGAGAAATGTTTGGGTAAGAAGGGGATTGCTTGATTAACTAGGTTATTTGGCAAGATTTTGTTGACTAGAAAAATACTAGAGAAGTGGTGGAAGAGTATTTTAAAGCTAATTTATAAGAATAAAGGAGATGCCAAAAACTACAACAACTATAGAGGAATCAAACTATTGTGTCTTTTAATGAAAGTGCGTGAGAGAGTGATGGAACGTCGATTGCGAGATATAACAGAGATGTCAGAGAATCAAATTGGGTTTCTGCCTGATAGGTCAACAATGAAAGCAATCTATCTTTTGAGGAGAGTAATAGAAAAGTATAGAAAAAATAAAAGAGATATTTATATGGTTTTTACCGATCTTTAGAAAACATATAATAGAGTGCCTCAGGATATAATATGGTGGGTGTTAGAAAAGAAAGGGATGACAAAAGATTACATTGTTATGATTAGGGATATGTATGAAAGTGTGGTGACCACTATTAGATTGCCTGCTGGAGAGACAAGTGAATTTCCAATTGTTGTAGGGTTACACTAAGGATTAACCTTAACTCCTTATCTTTTTGCTTTAGTAATGGATGAATTGACGATAAATATTCAAGATGATGTGCCATGGTGTATGCTTTTTGCAGATGATATCGTGTTAGTGGATGAGACTAGAGAATGAGTTAACATTAAGTTGGAGACTTGGAGAGAAACACTTGAATCTAAAGGATTTATGATAAATAGAACTAAGACAGAGTACATGGAGTGTAATTTTAGTAACAGTAAAAATGGAAGTAGAGGAGAAGTGAAAATTGAGAATGAAGAACTACCTAAGAGTGAACATTTTCGTTATTTATGATCAATTATCACAATAGCGGGGGAGATTGGTGCTAAAGTGGTCCATAAAATTAAGGCGGGGTGACTTAAATGAAATGCGTTTGGGGTACTATGCGATAAACGAGTACCCACTAGACTAAACAGGAAGTTCTATAAAACATCTATTAGACTAGCGATGTTATATGGGTGGAATGTTGGGCAACTAAGAAATAACATGTAGATAAGACGAGTGTTACCGAGATGAGTATGCTAAGGTGGATGCGTGGTAAGAGTAGAAAAGATAGATTTAGGAATAAGTATATTCGAGAATAGGTAGGAGTAGTACTGATAGAAGATAAATTGAGAGAGAATGGATTGAAATGGTTTGATTATATACAATGGAAACCAATAGAGGTAGGTAGTGTAGAAATGCGATATAGTGACGGTAAATGAAAGTATTAGGAGAAGGGGTAGACTTAAATTGACGTGAGCTAGTATAGTAAATAAAGATATGAACCTTCTTAATTTGACAAACGAAATGACCTTAAATAGAGTCGAGTGGAGAAGAAAGATTCATATAGCGGATCTCATTTGATGGGACTTAAGGTTTGGTTTGGTTATATCTAAATTTACCTATTAAAATTTAGTTGCATGGATACAAAAATGCAGGTTACAACAATAATAAAAAAAAAACACAAACAATTCAAAACTATATACCAAATAAATCATAATAAAATATCAAGTAAACATTATTTTATTTACATTTTTAGCTACAAAACTATTAATTATGCTTTTATAATCTAGACTTGGGCCATTTTTAATAGGTTAAAAAAAAAATTGGACCAACTATAAGCGCTAGATTTTTTAGGGCCCGAGGAGGCCGTCTTGCTCGGTTCTGCACAAGGCCGACTCTGGTAATTAGAACAAGTAATGCCACACATAGAGATAAAAAAAATCTCTCTAGTGATCCATCCAAAATAAATGCAGTATTGAAAATAATGAAGAATGAAAAAACAAAGAAGAATTGAGGAGGCTTACATATAGTCCCTCTGTCAACCATATGGGCAATCTTCCCCATGGTGACGCATGGAAGGAAAGCAGTGGCAACACCTTCAAACACATCAAAGCTTAACTCATTTGCCATTAAATATTACAGAATTTAGGTGCTAATTGAAAGGATGAGAAAGAAAAGAAAAAAAGAAAATAATGAGAGGGGGTAAATTAAGTTACAAATAGAGGGATCATCGAGACAATCGCAGAGGCCGGAGGACCACTCGCCTTGAGGAAGATGGTTTGGAAATGGAGGGAATGAATATGAAGCTGGTCCTGGGGGTGTTGGCACCACCGGCACTGGTGGTTCAGCGGCCACCGCCCCTAGGGGCACTGTTGGGCTTATTGGAGGTTTGTTTTGGCACATTTTTGGGAGAAAAAAGGGAAGAAAGTATGTGGAATATTGTAGGATGAAGACTAGTATAATTATATATATATATGTTATAGAAGGCAAGTGATGATGAATGGGTTGTTCCAAGCTTTGGCATATTGATTTGATGATTATAGTGTATTTGCATACAAAGATCCTGTTTTTTGATCGAATGATAATTTGGATAGAAACACAAACAAAAAACAGAATCTGGTTTGCCTCAAGAGTGACATGCAAACAAACATGTCCCTCAAAATTAACAAAACAAAACAAAATATAAATCCCATAATTTTTTTTTTATTTTTATAAATAGACTAATGAGATTTATTTAAAATATAAATTATTTCATGTGGTTATGAAAATTATAAATACTCTATTGTCAGAATTTGTCATTTAATAGAGTTAATAGAAAAATGAAATTCATTAACTTCTCTCTTATTATCATAACTATTAATTGAAACATATTGTTGATATTATTAAAATTATTAATTGAATTAATGGTCAATCAATGAAAGAGATTATTTGTTATATGATTAGTTTGACTCTTGTAATAAAATAAATTTTGAATATTATATTTAGTCAATTTAAACACTAAACTTTTAATTTAGTTTTTCAATATAAATCATTTGCCTATTATTATTAAGTAAAATTAATGAAAAAAAAATGATATTTTAGTTATTAAACTCAAAGAAAAAAATATTTTAAACATTTTATATACACTTATATTGAGTTTTTGATCAGACCCTATATTGAGTATATTGACTAAAATAGCCTCTTTTTTTTTCAATGTTACTTAGCGGATGTAGTCTGATAGTTTAGATTAAAAATAAATTAAAATATTACGATTTAAATTGATAAAATTAAAACTAAGTATTTATTTTGATAAAAGGGTCAGCTCTAGGGTTTTTCTTGTAATTTTCCTCTTTTTAAGGGTAAATTAGACTGTTGGTCCTTTTAATTTGAGCTAAATTTTATTTTGGCCTTTGTAATTTTAATTTGAATAATTTAAACTCCACACTTTCAATTTTGTTGTAATGTGGTCTATCTATCACTTGCTATTATAATTTTGAACAAAAAAAATATCATGTGCAAAACTAGAGGCACTAAGTGAAATTCAAAAGAAATTATAGAGTGCTGGTATAATAAATAAATTATACCGATAATCCTTATAGTTTCTTTTAAATTTTACTTTGATCCCTCTAATTTTGTATGTGATTTTTTTTATTAAAAAAAATTATTAACACTGGATAACGGAGGGACTAAATTGTAACAAAATTAAAAGTGTAAGGTGTAAATTGTTCGAATTAAAATTACGGGGAGTAAATGACACTATACCTAAACTACAAAAACTAATGATATAATTTAATTATTTTTTATTTACTACAAAATGCTAGAGTAAAGAAAGTTGGGCAAACTATACTAACGGTTCTTATAGTTTAGGATTTGTGTCCTTAATTTTTCAATTGTGATACATTTGATTATAAATTTTGAATCTCATTCCAAATAAGGATAATTGAAGATAGCGTTTCCTTTGCAAACTAAAAATGCTTAATTTGAAAGGCAAAGTTGTTAATTTGATAAAATATAACTAGTTTGACAAAAATAAATATCAAATATAAAATTATATAACAATGATAAATCTTTTACATTTTTATATTTTTATTTTTTTACCAAATTAATTTTTAGTATGTGTTTGGGTGATAATCATGTAATGACTGGTTGATTTTGTGGATGCTTTTGGATGATTATCATGTAATATATTGTTGTTTTTGTTGTTAATAATATAAAATTATATAACAATGACAAATCTTTTACATTTTTATTTTTTTACCAAATTAATTTTTAGTATGTGTTTGGATGATGATCATGTAATGAGTGGTTGATTTTGTGGATGCTTGTGGATGATTATCATGCAATAGATTGTTGTTTTTCTTGTTAATAGATGTTTTTTGATAGTTGTGGGTGTTGATTTTTGACCATACAACTAAACAGGGAATACTCCGTAGGAGAACACCGGCAGAATAGATTAAGCTCGAACAACTTGTCACAGAAAGATAAGAGTCCGGTGGTGGTTTGTCCACCCGGGGGTACTCCGATGATCAAGTCAGTAATTATCTCTCAAAGATAGCCAATAGTGCTTAACTCACTAGACAGAGCATAAAAAACATACCTTAGACCCACGGAGATGCCTTACTTTTATAGCCAGCACTAACTTGATCCCTGTAGAAGCTTAGCTTCAATGGATTTTGCCTCAATGCTCATCTTGGACTCCTAGCTAGATAGAGATAAACTTCATAAGAGTTTTATCTTTATCCATACTAAGGTTCTCTCCACTTCTAGGATTCTTATCCCTTATCCGCTCATCTTGGATTCCGGTATCTTCGCAGATAACCTCGACCTAGTTGAGATCACCTCGGTGTCATGACCAAGACACGTGGCACCTCGGCTGACACTTCGGCGTCACCTTGGCCACGTGTTATCATTCACAAAATATGTCCTCCCCACAACTGCCCCCTAGGTTCTATTATTTCGGCATCTTGAGATGATGGAACCTACATCGTTTGTCCACATAGCACGTCGGCTAAGACTTACTCCATCCTTGATGACCGAGATCATCACTTGTCGGCTTCACATGACCAAGACTCTGCAGTCTACTTTATCAATGACCAAGAACCAAGAACCAAGTTTTTCAAGTTCTTTAATTGAGATCGCTCCTATAGCCGAGGTTTTTGTTTCATTAAATCAAGAACTCCAAGAGTTTTATCTGCGCATGAGCTGTCACGCACGGTTTACTTAACTGTTTTCTCCACGCATCGCTCCCTCATTGGTTCGTACTTGACAAGTGCTATAAGGTTGCGTTGCTTCTGCGCATGCCGCCTAACAGACACGTTGTCCAAGGCATTCCATTATGGTTTGCCGTCCTTCCAAATTTTTAACAAAAATAACTTCTCTTTCTCTGTCGTTTCACTTTGCATTCCTTCGTTTTTGCTCAAGTTTTCTCTCTCTAAAGCTTCTCTCCCAAATCGTCCATTGTCGTTCCTTTCGAGCTTTGCCATTGTCGTATTTACCACCTCCGGTGCACTTTTCATCATCTTCTTTCGATCATTCTCGTCATCTGACTCTGGTGATCTTCATATTGGCATTCATTTCACTCAGTAAGTTCACAATTTCTTCCCCCTTAAGTTCTGTCTTTAATTTATTTCGTACTCTATTACATGTTTATACGCTGTTTGCTGCCATTGTGAATCTATTTGTGTTCTTGAATCTTTACTTGTGCTTTGAATTTCATCATTTGGGTATCAAACGTGCTTGTTTGCGACTTAGTTTTTTTTCAATCTGTCTCTGGGTCTGTACATACGAACTGTTCATACATTTGAGACTTTAGGAATTTTGTCATTGTTCTCAGTTTTTGCATATCTGCACACACTTACTCAGTATTCTTGAATTTTTGTTTGTTTTCTTGAGTCTGAATCATTGCTCTTTTTTATTTTTCTTTGACTTGTTTCCAGATTCTTGCCATTGATTCTTGTTTTCATATAGATTTAGGCTTGAGATTTGATAAAGAAATAACATACTTAGGAAAAACTGAACCAAAAGCCCCCTTAGATCCGAAAGAACCCTAAAAGCTGCCAGATTAGGGTTTAATCGAGGTCTTTAAATCCACACCAAACATTTCTTTTTGAAATTTTACCCTAATCTTCATCAGCCGATATCATGGGTATGTTCAAGTGGAGAGTAGACACCCAAAAAAAAATAGAGTATTTTCGTTGAGTGTTCTCCATCCCAACCCGATGTTCACCTCAGGTTGGCTGGGAAGGAGGACTCCATCATGCCTGATGGGGGTTCCATGCCCTTCCCAGTAGTAGCCTTTATAGAGTGTGGACTTCAATTTCCCCTAGACATTCTTTAAGGAGGTCCTTCACTATTATAATCTCAACTCTATGCAGCTAGCTATCAACTTATATCGGATTATCAATGGCATAATTAAACTAGAACACCGAGAAAAAGCTAGGATCACTTTAACCAACATTTAATTTTGCTATACCATGTGTGGCCTCAAGTCCAAAAAGGGCTACATATACTACCTAAAGCCAGATCCACCATCTTCAAACTAATAGCCGACCTCCCAGACTCAAACAAGGGTGCTGGAGATAATTACTTCATTGTTTCGGGCAACTGGGAGTTCTCACCTGATGACGACCTCCATCTCTATCCTCTGAGCTGAACGGTGTTTAAAGAGGGTGATGGTAAGGACTGAGTCATTCTTCTAATCACATTTTTGTTAGGACTTGCCAACTTGATATATCTTTGTCTAAATACTTTTGCCTTCTTACTCTTTTTTGCAGTTCTTTCTAAGCTGGCAAAGGGATTTCGGTAATCATTCGCTCCTAGCTAAGATTTAAAGAGGTTGTTAGATCTCTTTATGTAGAAGCGCAAGGCGTCTCTTCTACTGAACTACATTCCAACATACAAGTCGGCCCTACCCGACGTCCCTCAAAAGAGCAAATCTCCACATTCTGCAACATCTCTCCCTGCTACTTCATCGCTAAGACTTGATCAAGCCTCAACTTCTGATCGAGCAGAGTAGCCATTAACATCCGCTCCCCAACTGATTCCTCCAGTTCAACGCCAACGCCGACGTCAAGCTCTACTCTTCGCTCCTACAGGCAAAACTCGTAGCAGTAGACGCCAAAACACTGAGGCATTAGCAAACCCAGCCACTGCACTTCCAACAATCCACTTTGGTACCAAAGTAACTGTTGCCACCACTGCCGAAGAAATGGGCCGAAAACCAACAGTTGTTGAAGACTTTCTCGCCAATATCCCCGGGGTTGTGACGATGCAATCCTCGTCCTCCCCATCCCAACCAAAGCCAAAGTAAAAAAGAGTGAAGAAGGCCAAGACTAAGGCCACAGTGACTCAGATTGATTCTGAGAACACTGTGCCAATCTCGAAATTGGCCGAGGTAGAATAAAGTCAAACGACCGCCGCGAAGAGGCCAGCCGAGGCCGACACACCCGATTCCCAACCACCAAGAAGGTCGAGGTCTGACCACCCCGAGGGTAGCCACAGCTTCCCTCGCAATATGACCTGGGCTTCCGAGGTCATGGTGGATGACAAACCCCTGACGGCTGGCGACAGCGCAATGAATCTTGAAGTCGGAGCAGCCCTATCAACGACTGTTCTTTTACCAGAAGACATGAATCGTATGGCTGAGTTGCATGAATATAAGAACTTTGCCCTTATGATGTAGCACTCGGTCTTGATAATCCTCTTTTACTTACTCTTTTACAATTTTTCTATACTTAGTAAAATCTTACTAATGTGTTTTACTTCTTACAGGCTATCCAGCATGCTCACTTATACGCTGTCAAGACTGAGATGACAAGGAAGAAGTTGGCAAGGAAGACTAAGAAAGTAGCCAAACTTCTATCCTCACTCAATTATGCCGAGGCCAGCAATCGAGCTCTGTTGGATTAGGCTAAGGTTGCCAAAGCTGTTCAGAATTTGGCCGAGGAAAAAGCCAAATTGGCCGATGATGAAGTCGAGATCGCCAAAGCCGATCTTGCGGTTGCTAAGGCCAAGACAATTGACCTAGAAACTAAGCTTCAGGAGGTCCTTGACTCAAAGGAGGCCGAAGTCAAGGCGGCCAACGAGAAAGCTTTTGAAGAGGGCCAGGTCGCCGTCCGCGACCAATACAAACAGCAAGCCAACCTAGCTTGTAACTGAGGTTATTACCTTGGTTAGACGGTGGCGCTCAACAAGTTATCTGTTCCAATGGACTCCGACCTTTGAGACATTAATCAGCTTCAAGTGCCTTTCCCTCCAGAGCCCAAGGATTCTGGCATTGAAGCCGACGAAGATGATGCCGAGGATGGTGAAGCTGATGAAATGGAGGAGGAGGTTGCCATTGATGCCAAGTCTTTCACCCTCAATGAACAAATATACTTGACTCAAGATGAGGAGGATGACTTGGTTTCCAAGGGCGTCTCTCCCAAACCAACCAGCTCTGAGGCTGAGGTCTAGTGCCCCAAAAGGAGTTTGGACCAGACTCTGCTCGAAATAGATGCCGAAGTAGCGGTGGAGAAAAATGCAATGCTGCCAACTGAGGCCAACAAGACTCCATTAGCCGAGGTTGAGCAATCCCAGACCAATCCTAATTCTTAGGATATTTCTTATTTGAACAATGTTAGCTTTAGTTTGGCTGATGTGCCCTCTTTTGTACCTTGAACAAGTTGTCTTTTGCTAAGCCAAAGTACCTTTTTTTGAATGCAAGTCTTCTCTTTTCTTCCAAGTGTGGAATGTTAGTTTTATGTATGCTTTACTGCTTTCTTTCATGCCTTTCATGCTTCCATACTTAGAATATTTTTGCACTTTTTCAAAGTATACCTTTAACGGTATAATAACTCTGGGGTATAATACCTTGGATATAAACCTTGACTGTTTCTCGGCCAACCATTGGCACACCTCCGCTAACACTCAAAAATATCAAAAATATTTTTGCAAGTGTTATTCAGTATTTCTTTTTACCTTCATATGCTATCTTTTTAGACTTTACCCTCTCCAAGTTTGGACGACATGGTTGGTTACCTCGGGTAAGATGTATCTCGGATACTTTTTCCAATATAACCTCGGGTAACTTCAACTTGTAATTTTTTTTGAAATTTTAACAAGTGTTAAGCCTATTCTGATTTGTAAATTTTGTCTCTAAAATTTCAACAAGTCCCAAGCACTTCAAATTTTTAAGCTTATTTATCATTCTCCAACTCCCTGCCCCCTAATGTGAACCTAAATTTTACTTAAGTTCACATTAAGCATGTGCCTGTAGTCTTTGGCCGAAGTTAGATTCAAACAAAGACTAGCCGAGGTTATCAACCTTGGTTTCTCTGTTAATCTAACTGAAATGCACTTAGTTCCAATCTGAGTTTGATTTTGCTGACATGGCAAATCCAAGTTAATCCAACTTAGTTCAACTCCATTATATGCAAGTATAATTTCAACTCTGCCATATAATGAGTCTAAGTTATTCGTCATGTTTCACTTAGAAACATCGCTAACTTAGCTTAACTTTATTATATGCAAGTATAATTCAACTCTGTTATAAAATAAGTCTAAGTTATTCGTCATGTTTCACTTAGAAATATCGCCAACTTAGTTCAACTCTATTATATGCAAATATAATTCAACTCTGCCATATAATAAGTCTAAGTTATTCGTCATGTTTCAATCATAAACATTGCCAAAGGACTGGTTAGTCCTATTACACAAATTACAAAATCAAGCTAAAATTTTATTATTACTTAGGCTAATGACATAAACTTCGAAAAAATAAAAAATCTAATGATAGAAAAACTTCAAGTTGCAAGTGTTCCAGGGTCTTGGCAACTCTTTACCCTCACTGTCTTCAAGCCGATATGCCCCATTGCCGGCGACAGAGATAAGTCTATAAGACCCCTCCCAATTTGGGCCAAGCTTGCCCTCCCTAGGATCCTTTTTGTTGCCGACCACTTTCTTCAGCACAAGGTCCCCAACTTTGAACTCTCTTGAGTTAACCTTCTTGTTATAAGCCCTAGCAAGTTGTTGCTGGTATGCCCCCAGCCGAATTGCTGCTCTTTTTCTTCTTTCTTCTAGTAGGTCCAAATCTCGGGCCAGGAATGTCTCATTAGTCCCATTCTCTATTCCCTAGGTGCTAATCCCTGGGATGCCGACTTCTAGTGGGATGATTACTACAGTGCCATAAGCCATGGCAAATGGAGACTCCCTAGTTAATCTTCTTGAAGTAGTACGATATGCCCAGAGTACATTGGACAACTCTTCCACCCACTTTCCCTTTGCTACTTCCAGCCTCTTCTTGATCCCATCCAAGATAGTTTTATTGGACGCTTCTGTCTGACCATTACTCTGATGGAAACTTGGAGTGGAGTAGTAATTCTTGATTTTGTACCTTGCACAAAAGCTTTTGATTAGCTTACTGTCAAACTGTGTACCATTGCCTGCTACTATTGCCCTTGGGATCCCAAACCTGGTGATGATGTTCTTCCATATGAAGTTCTTCACATCAATATCTCGAATCTTCGCAAGGGGTTCCGCTTCTACCCACTTTGTGAAGTAATCAGTTGCTACCAGCAGGAATTTTCTTTGTCCAGTTGCTTGGGGAAGTTGTCCAACAGGATCCATGCCTCACTGGGTAAATGGCCAAGGGCTGGACACTGGGTTCAAATCTACTTCTGGGTGATGTATCAAAGGTGCGAACCTTTGACACTTTTTGCACTTTCTGACATAGGCTTTAGCATCTTTCTGCATGTAGGGCCACCAGTACCCTTGAGTAATGGCCTTATGAGCAAGTGATCTGCCCTCAGCATAGCTTCCACATACTCCTTTATGTATTTCATACAAGAAGTCTTTAACTTGGGAGGGATGCATATATCTCAAAAGGGGACCAGTAAAAAACCTTCTGTAGAGATGTCCTTCTGCTGTTAGGCTAAACTTAGCCAACTTCAGTTTGGTCTTGTGTGCTTCTTTATGATCATCTGGCAGCTTCCCATCTTTAAGAAATATTACTATTGTATCCATTCAACTTGGACCCATCTCCACACACATTGCTTCATATTCTGTGATTAGTGGTTCCACACTTGGGCCTGACAAGTAATCAACCAGTATTGTCTTTGCCTCCCCTGATTTCATTGCAATAGCCAGGTTAGCCAAGGCATCGGCATGGCTGTTGTCATCTTGGCTAACTCGTTGTAGCCGGCAATCCTAAAATAAGGTTAACAGTCTGACAACCTCTTTTACATAGGCTATCATTCTTTCATCTCGGGCTGTATACTCACCTATTGCCTGGTTCACAATAAGTTGGAAGTCACAGAAGACTACCACCTCGTCGGCTTTCATTGCTGCTGCCAATTTCAATCCTGCAATCAGTACTTCATATTCTACTTTATTGTTTGAGGCCTTAAACCCCAATCGAATAGATTGTTCTAACATCCGCCCATCTTGCGATACTAGCATTACTCCTGCTTGCGCTTCTTGACGGTTTGAACTCCTATCAACAAACAGACAGAATGAGTCACTGATGTAAATGTCGCACGTCTTGAGTTTTTCTTCTTTTTTTTTACTCTACTGTAGGGTTTTTCATTCCCAGTTGGGTCTCTTCTTGTTTCCCTGGACACCGTAAGCCGCAGCTCATCGAAGCCCAATGTGGGATGGCTCAAAGAGTGAACTCGGCCATAAAGTCGGCCAAAACCTAGCCTTTAATTGCTGTTCTAGGCCTAAATTCCAGGTCGTATTGGCCCAGTATTATTGCCCATCTGGCTATCCTACCTGTTAGATCTCCTTGTTGTAGCAGGGACTTCAAGGGGTGCTCAGTCAATACCACAATCTTGTGGGCTTGGAAATAATGGTTCAACTTCTTGGAGGCCATCATTAAGGCCAATGTCAATTTCTCCAGGGGTAAATATCTGGTCTCTGCGTTTACTAGGGTTTTACTCACATAGTATACTGCCTTTTGTTCTCCCTTCTCTTTTCTGATTGCCATTGCACTCACTGCATGCTCCAAAACCGCCAAGTATAAGAACAGTTCCTCTCTAGGTACTGGATTTGAGAGAACTGGAGCTGTGGTCATGTATCTTTTCAAGTCGGCCAAGGCGACTTCACATTCCTCTGTCCACATGAAATCTGTGGCATTTTTTAACAGACTGAAAAATGGTTTACACTTATCTAAACTTCTGCTTATAAATCTGTTCAGGGCTGCGGCCCTTTCAGTCAACATCTGCACTTGTTTTGCCGACGTTGGGCTTTTCAAATCCAGGATGGCCTTAAATTTGATCTGGGCTTGCCTCAATGCCCCTTCTGGTAACCGAGTATCCAAAGAACTTACCAGACCCAACTCTAAATGCACATTTCGAACATTGAGTCGGAGCCGATATGTTCTAAGGATGTCGAAAACTGCCTTTAAGTTGGCCAGATGATCCTTAGCTTCTTTGGTCTTCACAACCATGTCATCAATGTATACTTCCACTGTTTTGCCAATCAGATATCTAAACATCTTGGTTATTAACCTCTGATAGGTTGCTCCTATATTTTTCAACCCGAAAGGCATCACTCTGTAGCAATACGGCCCTTTTGGGGTGATAAATGCAGTCTTTTCCGCATCAGGGGTGTACATTGCTATTTGATGGTACCCCTTATAAGCGTCCAAGAAGCTTATCCTTCCATGCCCTGCAGTGACGTCCATCAATTGATCGATCATGGGGAGTGGGAAACTGTCTTTGGGACAAGCTTTATTCAGGTTAGTGAAGTCCACGCAGATTCTCTACTTCCCATTCTTCTTTTTCATAACAACTGTGTTTGACAACCAAGTTGGGTAGTTTACCTCTCGAATGGCTCTGGCCTCTAACAATTTGTCCACTTCCTCCTCTACTGCCTCCATATGAACCAATGTCGGCCTTCTTGCTCGCTGAATGACGAGTTAGGCGACCTGTCTATGTTTAGTCTGTGGCATGTTACCTTGGGGTCAATGCTAGGCATATCGTAGGGCGTCCAAGAAAATACCTCTATGTTTGCTCGCAAGAATGCTTCAAACTCCTTTTCCTCATTCTCTGTCAAGCCTGAGCCGAGAAGGAAGAAGTGCTCTTCATCCCCTTGCTGGATCAGAATTTTCTTCAAAGCTTTCTCGCTTTTGTCGACCGGCTCTTTGCCGACGTCATCTAGGACCTCCATGTCCTCGCCCTCAATATTTACTGTTTCTGTTTCTCGTACGTTGCAGGTGGATTTTATTGCTGCCATGGAGCAATTTTTTGCCTGTACCTGATCCCCTTTAATCTCTTCAATTCCATGCTCTGTTGGGAACCGCAACAGTTGGTGCAGTGTTGAGGGAACAACCTTCACTGCGTGTAACCATGGCCTTCCCAAGATGACATTGTAAGGGGACAGGGTGTCAATTACTGTGAACTCTGTGCTTACCTTCTTGGTGCTTGCCTGTATCTCCAAATTTATTGCTCCCATGGGCCAGGTCAGCGTTTCATTGAACCCGACCATTAGACTGTTGGACTGCTCAAGATCATCTTGGTGAAGGCCGAGCTCCTTGTAACATTTGACATACATAATGTCACAAGAGTTACCTTGGTCAATCAGAATGCGCTTGATCTGGCATTCTCCAATCTTGAGAGATACCACCAGATCATCGTTGTTTGGATGCTGTACCATGTCCAGGTCAGCCTCAGTAAATGACACCATTGGTCCCTAGTACTCGTCTATCCTAGGACTCTTTTGCTGGACCTGATACACATCTTGTAAATGTTTCACCCTCTGGGTCTCCCCACGTGCCTTATTCTCATTGACCCTCGAGTAAATCACATTGATCACTCGAGGCTCGTCTGCTTGCGGTTGTGGTGCTGGTGGGAGTGTTGCTGCCCGTGCCTGGGGCAGCCTTGCCTGTTCTTCTCTCGTTCTGGCCTCATTTACTATGTCCCTTAGGTGACCTTGTCTAACCAGATCTTCCAAATGTGCTTTTAGGGCCTTACAACCCTGAGTCAGATACCCATCCTCATTGTGATAGGCACAGTGCTTGCCTAGGCTTCTCCCTATAAATTCACCAGGAATCTTCTCTAGTGCTCTATAATACGGTTAGTTTTTGATTCTTTCCAGAACTTTATAAACTGGGATCTGGAATACAGTGGTGGCTGCTTGTGCAGCCCTCAGTCCTGTCTCTTGCCTGTTATATCCAGTATTCTCTCGGCCTCGCTTTGACGAGCCGTTCATCTTCTCCTGTTTCGATACCTTTGTCCCTGGCGTATCCTCTTTTGCTCTGGCATATTTCTCAATCCTGGCCATGAGCTCCTCCATACTCTTTGGCAGAGTCTTTGCCAGTGACTTTCGAAGCATGCAGTTATTGTTCAGGCTGTTCTTAAATGATACAACTGCCAACTCTTGGTTGCACCCTAGTATTCAGTTAAACACCTCATAATACCTTTTGGCATAAGCCCTAAGGCTTTCATCCTCGCCAATTCTCAGAGCCATTAAAGAGTCTACCCTCAACGGCTGCAGTTTGTTTGTAACAAACCTGGCCACAAACATCTCGGCAAGGCCTTTCTAACTTTTCACAATTCCTTTCGGTAACTTGTGAAACCAATCTGATGCGATTTTCCCAAAGAATGAGGGGAACACCTTGCAGAGCAACGGTTTGTTCTCGGTATACAGTGCCATTGAGTTCAAATATAAGTCGACGTGAAAGTTAGGATCAGACTTGCTGTCGTATATCTGGAATCTCAGCATGTGGAACCTTTTCGGGGTCTCAAACTTATCCAATTCTACTGAGAATGACGTTCTCAGCTTGATCGGAGATGTAACCTTGGCATCTTGTCGCTTCCTCTAGAGGTAGTCCCTCAAATCCTTATTAGTTCTTCCAGGGGCTCGGCTATCAACGGATTTAAGCCTTTTTGGTGCGCTGCTCTCGATGTCGTTGTGAGTCCTCTTGGACTTCCCTTCATTCATCTTGTCAAAACAAAGCTCATTCTCTTGAACATGTCGATGTTCCTTGACATAAATTTCCTTGGCACGAGGTGTCTTCTAAGACTCTCCTCTCATCGATTTTCCTTGCCCGACCTCCCGTGAAGGTCGATGCGAATGCTCCTTTGTCCTGTCATACTGAGGGACTACAAGGATTGCTTTCTGCCCCCCTTTCTGGGCATTGTTCTTGGCCGCTGGAATCGGCGTGTCTTCCAATGGAAACGGTGGTTGCATGACGGTGTTCAGTATCATGGGGTTGACAACCGATTGTAGGTCTGCTAATTTGTTTGTCATTTCCTTTATCTCACCGTCCCTACTCAGGCATCTATCTTTCCATACCTAGAGGTCGCTTTCGTTGTAATACTCGTCTCGGCCTGCCTTCTTTGGTACGTCTCCCTCTTGGTCGACGTCCTTTTTCCCGGGATTCTGCTCCCGGGGTTCTTCATTACAATTTTCTTTCTCTACATTAGGATCAGTGTGTTTGCCACTCCTACTAGGGATGTCATCCCCGACCTTTTCTTTCTGTCCATCGTTGGCCATCTATTCTCCTTACGTTCTCACAGACACTGACAAATTGTGGGTGTTGATTTTTGACTACACAACCAAACAAGGAATACTCAGCAGGAGAACACCGGCAGAATAGATTAAGTTCGAACAACCTGTTACAGAAAGATAAGAGTCTGACGGTGGTTCATCTACCCGGGGGCACTCCGACGATCAAGTTAGTAATTATCTTTCAAAGATAACCAACAGTGCTTAACTCACTAGACAAAGCATAAAAAACATATCTTTGACCCACAAGGGTGCCTTACTTTTATAGCTAGAACTAGCTTGATCCCTGTAGAAGCATAGCTTCAATGGACTTTGGCTTAATGCTCATCTTGGACTCCTAGCTACATAGAGATAAACTCACTAAGAGTTTTATCTTTATCCATACTAAGGTCCTTCCCAATTTTAGGACTCCTGTCCCTTATCCGCTCATCTTGAATTTTGATATCTTTGCAGATAACCTCGGCCTAATCAAGATCACCTCGGCCTCATGACCAAGACACGTGGCACCTCGGCTGACACTTCAGCGTCACATTGACCACGTGTTGTCATTCACAAAATATATCCCCGCAATAGTTATCATGTAATTGATGGTTATTAAATTTTTAATGTGTAAATAATTGATATGTTTAATATATGAAATATTTTTAATTTTGGATTTTTTTTATTTAATGGATTGGTTTAATAATGGCATTAAAATTGTGATCATGTTTGACTTTTGAAAAAATAAAAACTATTTTAACAAAAATAAATATAAAAAAAATTAATTTCAAAAAATTATTTCTACCCTCCTAATAGATAAAATTATATAAAAATGATGTGTTTTTAATTTTTTTTTCCATCAATTTAATTTTTAGTTTCTTACAAAATTTTTCTGAAAATAGATTTGAAAAACCAAACCAGAACTTCATAACCTAGAAAGTGTCAGCATTATTCATTAAAAAAAAAAAAAAATTACATTTCAAACAATATACAAGTTAACCAACACAAAATAATTTGTATGACGACTTTACCTTTGAAATGGACCGTTTGTAAAGGAAGCAATTTTTATTTTCTTTGCGTGCAACAAGATCCAAAATTTTGAATCAAATATATCGGTTCATGGGTAAAAAATTTGGAATCAAAATTTGTGGGTAAAAAATATGAGAGGTGATGTGACTCAAAATGGATAAAAAACTAAAAACTGACTTTTTTTTTGCTTCCCAAAACTACTGAAAAAATTTAAGTTTTAATAATAAAAAGAATATAGATAAATTTATAAGATTCTATACAATTTATTAGTCGAATCCACTTCTAAAAATTTTATCGGTTCATGATTAGTGGCAGAACTAGGAAACTAAATTAGAAGGGGCACTTTTTAATTATAATTATAATTTTTTTTCCATAACCAATAGTAAGAAGATAATAATAATTTTTGAATTAATATTAAGTACAAAAACTTAAATAAATTATTACAAAAGTATTTCACATAAAAATTTACAATTAATTTCGAGTAAAATCGAAAAAAAGTATTGCGTGTAACTAGTGCATCATGGACAATGTAAAAACAATCATATATTTAAGTCTTAAAATAAATTATATAATGGTAAGATAAATTAAATTTTTACAAAATTTGAGTAAAAATTTCATATAATAGTAATATCATGTCATTATTAACATATGATATCACCAACCAATAGTAAAGCAACATATGAAAGGTGAACTCCACATACAAATATAACTAACACTTTGAGTAATTTATATATATATATATATATATAATGAGATTAATTATATTTGCATATCAATAATAATGGATATTACCTTTATATTGAGGTTTTTTCATAAAATTTTCATATATAAAAATATAATTTGTTATAGTCACTTCATCTTCAATAAAACAATCACTATTGTTTTCATAAATTTAAAAATGCCCTTGACATTTTATTGTAAATATTATTTTTGTTTAAAATTTTATTTATATACATATGTAAAACAAAAATAAAAAATTCAGGGGGCACGTGACCCCCCTAGGCTCCATGTGGCTCCGCCACTGTTTATGACGAGTAATTATCTTATCTATTAAGAATTTTACGTTGGGTGTGTGCTCAACCAATAACAAAGGCTTAATAATTAGGGTTTGGATTTCTTTAAGTTAGTCATTTCAACTTGAGAAAATATTTGAGCTTGGTGAGCCTATTTTTGGGGCTGATATCGGTGATGCGAATTGTTCATTTTTTAGTTCTCGTTAAGTAGAATATGAAAGTAAAAAATTAAAATGATTGTAAATATATGTTTGAATTATATTTGTATTACAAAAAAATTAATAACTACTTTTAAAATTATAATTGCTGTCTATTTTTTAAAAATAAATGCAATTCAACCATATAATTATTACAATGCCCGATCATCTAATTTTTTGTATGAATATTTTACTCAACGAATCCTAAAAATAAACAATTTAGATCACCAAAATCGGCCGCAAAATGAGCCTACTAAATCCAATCATTCTCTTAAATCAAATGACTAACTCAAAAAAAATCTAATCGCTAATAATTATATGGCTAAGAAATAAAGAAAGAACAATATCCAATTGAATGGGGGGTAGTTTTAGTTCCTGACGAATTCCTGACCAATTTCTGTGCTAATAAATTTATTCATACATCTTAAAAATTAGATTTAATTTTTATCGAATCTTATTAAAAAACAGTTAGAGTAATATCATCGTTAAAAATAATTTTTTGAGACAATTTTTTTATATATGTCGCTAAAAATTGACAATTAGTGTGGTTTTTATAAATTACTGTTAAAACTTTTAATTAGTGACTTTTTTTGTGACAAAATTTTCAAATTGTTGTTGAAAGTTAAAAATTAATAATATTTTTTTTGTGACAATTTTTTTAAATTGTCACTGAAACATATAATTAGTGACTTTTTTGTGACCACTTTTAAACTATTACTGAAAATTAATAATTAATGACTTTTTTAATAATATTTGATAAAAAAATCATTAATTCTTGTCAAACCTATTGATAATAAGTCTATCTATTAAGAGGTTGTTTGGGATGTCCTAAATAAGTGCACTTTTTGACTTTTTAGACTAAAAAGTTGAGGAAAAAAAGATAATTATTTGGGATAACTTTTTGACTTTTTACGAAAAAATATGTATTAAAAAATTATATGAATTAGTATATAGGAGAAGATTGGATGGAATAGGGTATACAATAGGCTGAATTGAGGGACAGCGTCGGTAGTGTAGAGGCTGGGAAATGATTCCCTACTTTTCGGGTATTGAATTAGAGGTGTTGTTTGGCCTATGGGGGCCCACCATGGGTCTCGTTTTGCTAATCAAAACCGTTCTATGTGTAGAACTCGTCGAGTACTATATTCTTGTAAAAAATCACGTTGATCGGATATCGATAGCTATCTGATCAGATTAGTTTGTTTTCAACCGTTAACTATAACACCATCCATTTTATAAATTTTAACTGATTTGATCATATAGTTACCGATATCTAATCAATGTGATTTTTTACAGGTATATAGTACTTGACGAGTTTTACACATTGAACTGTTCAGATTATTTAAAAGGGACCCGTGATGGGCCCCATGGGCCGAACAACACCATACTATTTGTATACCTAAATAAGTGTAATTTTTCCCAAATGTCAGCTTCCCTTCTGTGTTTAAATTTAAAAATTATAAAACGAAAAAGAAAGCAAGCATAACGGTCCGCCAACCGCTAAGACTCTAAACAAACATTCTAAGCAACGCCACGTTTAAAAAAATGAAAATAAAATTTAGAATCTAACTTCTCTCTCTCTCTCTCCATGTTTCCTTCAACATCAAATGAGAAAATGTCCACTCCGGCACCACCATCAGCGCCGCCTCAGCCACCACCAACGCCATCACTGCCACCAACACCGCTTACTTTCCATTCTGAGTACACCGCTGCCTCCACAACCACTATTCCTGCAGCGGCGTCTCGAGCCTTGCCTTCTTCTCATCATACTCCGGTCCCTTGGTCCACTAATCTCTGTGATTGTTGTGATGATTTTACCAGTTGTAAGTCCTCTTTGTTGTTACACATTACTCGGTTGTTTTTTCACACACGTCCACTATTGTTTGCTTTAGAAACTGACTATTCTAATTAGTGTTTTTGACTTTTTAAGCAAAAGGTATAGAAAAATAAAAAAAATATTTTTTGGTAATGACTAAGGGTGCACCAAAATAAGCCAATGTAACACAATAAAATTATTTTATTTATTTTTATTTTGAAACAAAATTGAATTCTAAAATATACTAGGAGTGTGTGCGGGTGTGTAGTTATCAGGTCGACCTCCAGTACAGGGGTGATGGGGGTTCCATCAACCCATCACCCTACCAAAAAGTTTTGAAATTTTATTTTATGACAAAATTTTATTTGATGGTTAATTGATTTCATTAAAAAAATTAAAGCACCCCATCTAATAAAAACTTAAATTATTAGGAATTTAATCATTCTCTATTATATTTATCTTCTCAACACTCAAACCAAATGAAATATTACTGGTTGAATGGTTATTTGATCACGTATATATAAAAAGAAGAAGAAGAAGACGTGCTTGGTACTATTGAAAATGTGGTTATCATGCAATAATTCAATAAAATGACACATCGTTGAATATGATTGTAAAAATTTATGTTTTTTAATTTTTTATTTTTTTTAAGATTATGATATTTTATTAAATATTTATTATACTTGAAGGTGGAAAAGTTCAAATGATAATTAGCTTTTTTCAAAAAAAATAAAAATAAAATTTGTGAAGTTTAATTTTTTTGAGTAAACCCATCTATAAATTTTTTTTGAGTATTCTCAATTATAAGATTTTGATTCTCTCCATACATTTGTAATGGAGAATCTATTACATTTGTAATGGAGAATATGAAAATCTGCAATTATAGATTGACAATTACAAAGAACCATAGTTGGGTCAAATATGGAAGAAGGGTAGTTTAGGAATTGAAAAGTTGAAACAAAAAATAATTCATACAAAAAATTATATATACTTTATACGATAGTATAAAAGTATAAATGACAGTACAATTTGGTGTTGAGGTTCAACAAATATAACTATTAAAACTGTTTCTAAGTTGCTGTGGTTAGCCCAAGCAAATTCTATTGGTATTTTTATAATGTGAGGATTATGATGATTGATTGCCACATTAATGAAACACTAAAAATTTGAAAATACTTTGTACCATAAAAAAGTATCCAAAGAATGGTTCAATTGTCACATTAGCCTTATTGTAAAGTTTCTAATATCAATTTTATGTATAAATTTCTTTTTTCTTGTTATGAAAAAAAAGAGAGATTGTATATTGAATTGAATGAATAATACAATAGGAGAAGCCTGTATATATAGGCAGAAAGGAAACCTAGATAGGTACAGAAAAGGATAGAGATAAGACAGATAAGATACATCTATAATAATATACAGCTAACACCCGCTCTCAAGTTCAAGGTGGTAAGTCAGATATCAACTTGAGCTTGGAGAGGAGATTACAGAAGCGACTTGGAAGATGAGCTTTGGTGAAAAGGTCGACGGTCTGATCAGCAGAAGTAACAAATAGAAGACGAACATGGCCACTAGTAACATGCTGTCGTATGAAGTGGCAATCAATCTCAATATGCTTGGTGCGATCATGGAAGACATCGTTATGGGCAATCTGAATAGCACTTTGATTGTCACAATAAAGATTGGTGGCAACAGAATGAGAAACACCCATGTTAGAAAGAAGCCAACGAAGCTACACAAGCTCCTGAGTAGTGTCAGCAAGAGCACGATATTCAGCCTCGGTACTAGAATGAGTAACAAGGGTTTGCTTCTTGCTACTCCAGGAAATGAGAGAGTTTCCCAAGAAGAAGCAGAACCCAGTAGTGGAACGATGATTAGTAGGATCCCCTGCCCAATTGGCATCAGAAAAGGCATGCAGCTGAAGAGAAGAGTGAGGGGAGTAGTGAAGACCATGAAATAGAGTTCCTTTGAGATAGCGCAAAATGCGAACCAGAGCAGCATAGTGTAGAGAGCAAGGAGCAGTCATAAACTGACTAACAATGTGAAAAACATAAGCAATATCTGGACGAGTAACTGTGACATAGACAAGACTACCAACTAGCTGGCGATATAAAGTGGCATCTGACAATAGGGGACCATCAAGAGGTGTAAGACGAGTCTGAGGATCAACTGGAGTAGTGACAGTCTTGCAATCGGTAAGGCTAGCACGAGCCAAGAGATTAGAAGTATACTTGGCCTGGGTAAGAAAATAACCAGAGGAATCTTGAGAAATTTCCAAGCCAAGGAAGTAGCTAAGTGCACCCAAATCTTTCATCTCAAACTGGCGATGAAGAAACTGTTTGAGACTAGAAATACCCACTGTGTCATCTCCAGTGATAATTATATCATCCACATAGAGGAGAAGGAGAATAATACCGCGCTCTGTCTTACGAATAAACAAGGCAGAATCATGGGCACTGGAAGAAAAATCAAAGTTATGAATGGTAGAGCTGAACTTGGCAAACCAAGCACGTTGAGCTTGTTTTAAACCATACAAAGCACGACGGAGTTTGCAAACCTTGTTTGAAGGAACAGAAGAACCAAGAGGGGGTTGCATATAAACTTCCTTAGTGAGATCACCATTGAGAAATACATTCTTGACATCCATCTGAGAAAGGTGCCAGTGGCGAGCAGCAGCAATGGCAAGTAAGCTGCGAACTGAAGTAAGACGGGCAACAGGAGCAAATGTTTCCTCATAGTCAATCCCATATTCTTGACTAAACCCCAGGCGACAAGGTGAGCTTTGTAACGCTCAATGGAACCATCAGAATGAGTTTTGATCTTGTAAACTCATTTGCAACTAACAGTACGCTTTCCAGGAGGAAGATCAACCACATCCTAAGTATGAGTTTGGTCGAAAGCCTGCAGTTCATCAGTCATAGCTTGTTGCCAAAGAGAGTTAGAAGAAGTTGCTTGATAAGAAGTAGGTTCATGAGAGCAAAACGTAGTGGAACCAACAATATAATCACGGAGAAGAACAGAAGGTTGCCTTACCCATGTAGAATGACGCTTAGGTGGAGGAGGAACCTCAATGAAAATCGGTTCCGAAGGAACCTCCACTAGAGCTGGAGAAGGCGTAGGGCCATCAGCTGATATAGGATCCTCAGGATGGACGATAGGCGTTGGCAGCTGTGGAAGCATGGGGCCAGAATCTGCATCAAAGTCATCAGAAAACAGATCTATAGAAACATCAGTGAAGACTGGTGAGTGGGTGGACGGCGGTAGGTGAAACTCGGAAAGAGTAGAGAACATTTTGTGTTCCCAGAAGACCACATGACGGGAAATATGAAGACGCTTGGAGATACGATCCCAACAGCGATTCCCTTTATGTTCGATACCATACCCCAGAAAACAACAAAGACGAGAACGAGGTTCGAGTTTAGTGTGTTCATGAGGCTGAAGTAGAACAAAACAAACAGAACCAAAACCTTTAAGAGTGGTATAGTCAGGAGAACCATACAAGCGCTCGTAAGGAGAAATGTTAGCTATTACAGGGGTGGGGACACGATTGATGGGTGTGTATGGCAGTGAGGGCAGCTTCCCCTGAAAATTTTTCAGGACAAGAAGAAGATAGCAGACGAGCCCGAGTAGTGTCTAGAATATGATGGTGCTTTCTTTCAGCTCGTCCATTTTGTTGGGAAGTGCCTGCACAAGATCGATGAGAGAAAGTACCATGAGCTCGAAGAAAAGAAAGAAAATCAGAATCTAAGTACTCTTTAGCATTATCAGAATGAAAAAGCTTAATAGTACGAGAAAACTAAGTGCGGACCATAGCAGAGAAATCATAGATGCAGCAGCAACAGTAGATGATTTGTGTGGACTGCGAAGATTGATAACCTCGAACAGATGTCCATGCTTACGGCCTATCCCAAGGATCTGTCTCGTCTGAGGGTCCTGCACCAAACAACCATTAGCAGAAAAGGTAATAGTTAGACCAAGTTCACATAATTGACCAACAGAGATAAGGTTCATTTTAAGAGAATAAATATGGTAAGCATCAGAAAGAGACACAGTGGAAGTAGAGATTTTGCCAATATGACTAACAGGCATATGAGAACCATCAGCAGTGTATATAGTGGGAGCAGAAGATGATGATGACAAAGAAGAAAAGAGAGTGAAGTCAGAAGTCATGTGATTACAGCATGCGGAATCAAAATACCATGAAGAGTTACCTAAGGTTACTGAAAGAGCAGTAGATGGAGGAGTACCAGATTTGTTGAGCACCTGGTGGATAATGGACTCAACATTATCCACAGAGAAGGAAGGAATAGAAGAACCCTTAGAGGCAACAGCAACAGAGCGAGAACTGTGGCCAGGTTTGGACTGAGACCCGAACGAAAAGCCCCTTTCTTAGATGAAGTAGTAGAGGGAGCTCGAGAACAATTGCTTTGGAGATGGCCCGGAGCAGTCTTGTGATAAGTCAAGCAATCACGAACCTGGCAGTGAACAAGAGAATGAGTGGCTGGCAAGTCTCGGTTACGACAGTAACTGCATATGATGGGCTGTGAAGATGAGGAATTCTGAGAAGATGGCGTAGCAAGAACAGAATCCATGTCTTGAGATCTAAGACTCCCAAAACGAGTCTCCTCTGATAGGAGCTCAGTAATGGCTTGCTCTAAAGTGGGCAAGGGCAAACGATGAAGCAAATAAGCACGCACAGGCTCAAAAGTGCTATGAAGAGCCATAAGAAACTGTAATAGTTGCTGATGATTCCGATAAGTAATAAAGAGCTGTGCATCATCAGAATGAGCCCATGGAGGTTCAGAAAGAGCAAGCTGGTCCCAAACAGACGACATTTGGGATAAGAAGTCATTAAGAGATTGACCGGGTGCCTGGCGCATGTGATGAAGAGTCTGCAACAGTTGATACTGATGAGCATGTCCAGTGGTCTGATAACGTTCCTTCAAGAAATCCGAAATTGCTTTGGCAGGAGAGGCAAGGGAATCATCATCCTGAAAGCGTCCAAATTGAAGGTGGATCGAAGGAACTGAGGTAGCCCGGAACCATGTAATAATTTGATAATTCTTACTTTCCCATTCATCAAGACAGTCATCAAATGCAGAGTCCATCTCATCCTCCTTCTGGTGGGGTTTGGGAAGAGCATCAATAATGATCCGCCAAAGGTGTTTGCCTTTGATGAAACTAGAGAGAGCTTGAGCCCAACTAACATAATTAGACCCATCATGGATAATAGAAACAGATTGGATTGTACGATCCATAAATGCCAAAACGGAAGGCACCAATAGATTCAGAAGGCTCAAAAACCTTAGGGATAAGTAGGACGGAGGGCAGCACTGTGGCTGTGATGATGTCAGCAGCGAGGCAGTGCTGGAGTAGGGTCGACGTCAGCGGCTGAGAAAGTAGGGAAAATGGCTGAGGGAAGCCGACCGGAAGCCAAGGAGATGCAGCTGAGGCGGAAGCCAAGGTCGGTTGACGCGGAAGCCGGTGGACAAGCCGACGGCAGGGCGGCTGAGGCGCTGGGGGGAAGCCGAGGTCGACTGATGCGGAAGCCGATGGGCAAGCCGACGTCGGAGCGGCTGAGACAGCGCGTGCTGGAGCGTGCTGAGAGTGGAGGCGGCGTCAACCGACGTGCTTGGCTTTGGAAGGCGCGTGGTAACTCCGATGGAGGTGAATCTGGTGGCTTTGAATTCGTCGTGAAGAGACGAAGAGGTAGGTATAGTCCAAACGTTGAAACAGGAATGGACTAGATATGCAGAAACCAGCAGAAACGGACAGAGGACAGAAACAAGTTGCCAGAGAAAAAAAACGGGAGAAAAAAAAAGCTAGGAAAGAACCCTAGGCTCTGATACCATGTTGTGAAAAATAGAGAGATTGTATATTGAATTGAATGAATAATACAATAGGAGAAGCCTGTGTATATAGGGAGAAATGAAACTTAAATAGGTACATAAAAGGATAGAGATAAGACTAGAAGGAGATAGAGATAGAGAGAGATACAATAGAAATAGATAAGATACATCTATAATAATATACAGCTAACATTTCTAATTGCATATATATTTGTGAGTGAGTAGTATTCAGTACTTTCCTAATAAATTCTTTTATGAATTTTCCTTCCATTTTTTTTTTTGAATTTTTGAAAATAATAATGGTAGTTTTTATAAATAATGAGGATGATTATGATGATTTCCATATTCCAATTATTTAATTTGTAACTAACAAATGTAACATTGTTGTAAGTCCCAAAATTTAAAATATGTGAATTAAATTCATTTTGAGTTTTTTTGTTTTGATAAAATAATGGACATGTGACATGGTGGCAGGTTGCTTAACATGTTGGTGTCCATGTGTCACATTTGGTCGAATAGCAGAAATTGTGGATAGAGGATCAACTTGTAAGTCTCCAATTACAATTATTAATTTGATTAATTAGTTTTTTTTGTTTTTGTTTAATTAAGAGCCAGAATTATAACAATATATAATGCATTAATATTGTGGTGCAGCATGTGGAGTGAGCGGAGCACTGTACGCATTGATGTTGTGTGTGAGTGGTTGCTCATGTTTGTATTCATGTTTTTATCGATCCAAGTTGAGGGGTCAATATTTCTTGGATGAAAGCCCATGTACCGATTGCTGTATCCATTGTTGTTGTGAAGAATGTGCTTTGTGTCAAGAATATAGAGAGCTCAAGCACCATGGATTTGACATGTCTATAGGTCACTCTCTTCTCTCTCTCTCATTAGGGCATTAACTTAAGCGAATTCAATTGGATTGAGAATTTGTCTAAGCTCACTACAATAGAAAATGTATAGGGATTTGTCCAAACTTGAGCTTAGATTGCCCAAATTCAACATTAAAAAGAGAAAATTACAACTGATCTTTTCTAAGATTTGAAGAAAATACAACAAGTTTCACAGTTTTTTGAGTAATTATACTAACATTCATTTTTAGTAAAATTAAAAAGACCGAAACTAATGCAAATAGTGTAAAAATGAGAAGATAAATATATATTTCAAAGTAAAATATATGACAATATCATTCTTTTTATTCATATAACTAACGGATTATTAATAAAAGTGGAGTTAAGTATTATGTGAATAAAAACTTAAGGGAGGTGGATGTAATTTATTCTAAAAAAAATTTGATATATTGTTGCCCTAATCACATGTATTTCACTTTTTGAAATAAATAAATAAAAAATATCTCAAAAATTATAAACATGAACCTAATAAGAAAAATAATTTGAATAGTATGTATGAAGTAGTAAAATATTTTTAAATTGCAATATGCTTTTATCTAACAGTAAATATTTGAGTTGTTACAAGAGCTCCTGCCTAGCCTTATAACATATCTTAGCTAAGTCAATAAATTTAAAATTATACAGTCCAAAACTTCAATTTTTTTACCGGTTAGCATAGGCGGTTAAGCTAATATTGTGAACCATGTTAGGGTGGCATGGAAACATGGAAAGGCAGAAACGAGAGGCGGCGGCGGCGGCGGCGGCGGCGGCGGCAGTGTCTCCACAAGTGCAAGGTGGGATGAGTTGGTACAACTGAAGATATGTGCTTTTGAATTTGTACACACTATGATGATTAAAATGATCTCTCTATTAGGGTTTGATTTAATTTTTTACCTACTTGTTAAAACAGAGAAAGCTCTAGGGAGCATAATTTTCATATGTTTGTGATTCTGGTGATGATTAAACTTACGTTCTATTTATTTGGGCGAAAACATTTTTTACGAAAATTTTATTTTAGAAAAAATATTTTTTTTTTATGTTGATAGTGGTGGCAGCGGTGATGGCGATGGTGGCCATAGTGATGGTGGGATCGTGTGGTGCGTCGATAAAATTTTAATTTAAAAAACGCTTTTTGCCCGTTAAAAACATTTTCTGTCAAAATAGACTTGTTTTCGATTGATTTTTATTTTTCACTATATCAAATACCAAAAAATATAAAAAAAAATATTTTCTAAAAAAATATTTCTCACCTAAATGGAGCATTACTATCTTTGGTATTATTTCGTTGAAAAACAGTGACTTGACAAGTGCAAAATTTATTTTACAATTAGCTGATAGGAGTGGTCATTCCTTAGATTGATCCAATTTTCACCTTTGGTGATAAAGGAAAAGTCTACCAGAACAGAAAATGTCTCAGATTTTTACCATGGAAAATATGTCGATAGTGCGTATTTAAAGTTTATGTTGTAGGGCCAATTCTCGATAGTGCGTATTCAATTTCTGCGGCTTCTTTTATTTTTAATTTTTTATATTTTTTTCCTGCGTTCCTATTGTGCTATGTTTAAGAAAGGTACGAAGCTTATAAGTTCCATGATTTTTCTAATAGACAGTGATATTTCTTCTTTCTCTAACTTCTTAAATGTGATTGAGTGAATACTCCTAATTTACGTACAATTTTATTTAACATTATCGATATGTGATTCAAATTCATTTACACTGTGTTTGATTAAAAAATTTGAGAAGAGATTTAAAAAAAGAAAAAGAAAAAGTTAAGTGAAATGTGAAAAAAATATATTTACATTTCACCTAATTTCGTATATTTTTTTTTTCCTTTCTAAATCCCTTTTTAAATTCTCCAACCAAACACAATGTAAATATATGAACCCGATAAGAGCTTGTTTCGGAAGTAAGTTGACTTTTTGATTATTTTAGCCTGGGGCTAAAAAGTCTCGTTTGGGATAGACTTTTTAGCTGTTTTGACTTTTTATGAGAGAAAGAATGTAATGATTATGGGTTGTATTTGACATTTTGTCTTATTAGGCTAAAAAATTTATTGTCTTTTATCTTTTGGTGTTGTTTCTTGTTCCTTATAGTTAACTGCTGTGTGTAGTGTTTGAGTGCACTTGAGTGTTGAGTGAAGGCTAGCTGTATCATGTGAGTTTTTGCAGTTTACTATTTCTGAATTGTCATACGGATTTGTTGTTTGCTTGGCTCTCTTAGGATCATTTGACTGAATGATGGCCTTGAACAAGTAGACTAGTTTGGTAGATCTTCTCCTTAATTTGTTGAATGTTGAAGCTCTTAGTGCTACTGTTATTGTCTTTTATACTGTTTTTGAGTTTTGACAGGCCAACTGCTGTGGTTCTGACAGCTGCTGCTACTTTGTTGTTAGCTTGCCTACTGCTAGTGATGTCTGTCTATTGTGGCCTGTTTGCTGTGTGCTATTGCTGCCTTTTTGCTGATGTCTTTTTCTGATGTCTCCTGATATCCTGAAGGCTGTGTTGTTTGTTTTACAATCTGAATTTTAATAGATTAGTTTATTTGTGATAGGTTCTATTGATTATTTTGTAGTCACAGGTCTTGTTTTGGCTTTGTACATGGCTTTATTGTGTTAGTAGTTTTTTTTGAGTTTGTTTGGTATCTGATTATGGTCCAGCAATCTCTAGGCATTCCCAATGGGGTAGTTTTGTGTTGGCCCTGTTCTTGTCCCTCATTTGCTCTTGTTGCTCATGTGGTGTTTGAACATGTTTTTATTTTCTTGTTGCTTTGGTTTGTTGTTGTCTGTATCTTGTATAGTTGGTTAGTTCCTGTGATATGCCTCTTATAGTTTGTATTTATTTGTCATTTTAATTTATGACCTATTCACCCAAAAAAAAAAAAAAAAAAAAAAAAAATTCCTGGACAAAATTCTGGTACCTTTTTCTGGATTATTAAATTTACTTGTGAACCATAATCTGACATGGGTTTAACCCCAAATAAACAAAGAAATACTATTTATCTCGAAAAAGTAAAATATATGTTAGGATAAATTATTAACACGTCATAATAGTTAAATTTAATTTTCATCAAATCTTATTAATAAAATCGTCGTTAAAAATAATTTGTTGTAACAATTTTTTACATGTCGCTAAAAATTGATAATTGGTGATTTTTTTGTCACGATTTTTGCTGCTAAAACTTACAATTATTGATTTTTTTTGTGACGAATTTTTTAAACTATCAAAAATTAATAATTATTTTTTTGATATTTTTTTTAAACTGCTACTAAAATTTATAATTAGTAATATTTTTTGTGACAATTTTCAAACTATCGTAGAAAATTAACGATTAGTTACGTTTTTTTAATAGCACTTGATGAAAAATATTATTAATTCTCATAGAATCTATTAAACACTAAATTTACCTGTTAGGACCTACACGTGAGTTCCTATAATTTATGTAACATAATAAGAAGAGTAGCATTAATTGTTCTTCAATAAGATTTTTCATTGTATCATTCTTCATTTATGTGCATTTTATTATAGGAAAGAAATCTGGATTTAGTGGGCCTGTAAACGTAGGTTGGATGAATTCATGTCAGTGAGAACACATATATAAATTAACATGTTTTTCTGTTTTTATTTATTTATATTAAGTGTTAAAAAATAAGTTATAAAAATAAATAAAAAGAGATAATAAATATGATCAATAATAAGTTATAAAAATAAATAAGATAACTTGAGTTGTGTTCAATATTCTTTCATATTATTAAAAATATTTATGACAAAATTAATATAAAAATTTCAAACAATGTCTTTATTAATAAATATGATCAAATAATTTTCAGATTCCTCATTCGCATTCTTCTCTTTCCGCAAGTTAGAGTTTCCAATTAATATTAGACACGGGAAAATAATTCCTTTTGTTTTATTTTGTCCAAATTTTTAAATTTTATACTTTGTCCAGATGTTTACAAAGAGATAATCACTTAAACTTTTTGAAGAACCTAGAGAAGACAACGATTATTTTTATTTATTATTTTTTTATATAAAAAATAAGGGTAAATCACACTAATAGTCCATGTACTTTATCTCCCGTGTCACTTTGGTCCCTGTGTTTTCAATTTGCTTAATTTTGATCCTCAATCTTTGATTTTGTATCATTTTAGCCCAATTGTTAACACTGATTAAAATTGTAGACGGAAAATAAACACGTGAGATGCACATGACCCTTTTTCAAGGACAATATGGACATTTCACTACATTTCCTTGTTTCACCATCTTCTTCCTCTTGGACTCTCTACAACACAATCATCTACAACCGTTGCCTTCCTCCACTACCAAAATCATCCATAGCCAATCCCAACATCAACACCATCCACCTCCACCACATCAAACCCTGTATCGTCTACCACCCAAACTACCAAACTCACAACCTTATCTTTTGCACATACCTACCATATTCATCACCTCCATCCAACCTCTTTCATCTACTATTATCATCCCACCATCACCAAACAAAAAAGTGACAATCAAAAGAATAACAAAGAGAGAGATGAGAGAACAATCTGTTGAATAGATCGTCCTCTTTTAGCTCCTAATTTTTGTTCTATCTCCTCAATTTACCTGTTTGACCAGAGGAAGAGAGAGAGAGAGAGAGAGAGAGAGAGAGAGAGAGAGAGAGAGAGAGAGAGAG